AAGATGCTTTTCTGGGATGCAAATTGTGAAGTCAAAACTGCCATTGTTGAGAGATGCTTTTCTGGGATGCAAATTGTGAAGTCAAAATTGCCATTGTTGAAAGATGCTTTTCTGGGATGCAAATTGTGAAGTCAAGTCTACGCAATAGGATTGGTGACCAGTTTTTGAATGATTGTCTTATTTATTATGTTGAAAAAATGTGCTTGATATTGTTACGAATGAAGTTGTGATGGAGCATTTTCAAAAAATGAAAACTCGCAAAGAGCAATTGTAATAAAATGTAATAAATATTTTCTAGTATGCTAACATTGGTTTATTTCCATCTTTTTAAAGTTGATTTATAATAATTAGAATTTTTCTTACTCTTACTTAATTTTTGCTCCCAATGGTTTAATTTTCTGATCCGCGCCCTGAGTTGATGTAGATAAATGAAAACTGGTATCATATTTTGAAAGACAAAGTTTTAAGCACACCAATTCCGTATTTCTCATCGATGTTGTCTAGTGCTTGTAATGAAGCAAAAGACACCAAAGAGAAAGTCCTTGTGGGGAATGGGACTCCCTTGATCTCAAACGCAACACTCTTGTTAAACACTTGTTGTAGTTTTGAAAAACATATAATTTTCCTCCACCATAAAGTTTTTGACCGTGAATACTCGCCCCTCCTTGAAAATGACGATAAACTTGTTGATGAACTGGCCCAGAATGTGTGCATGCATTTGGATCCCCGAAATTCAAAGCAGTGTAAACATTTTTTTTTTTTGAAAAAGTAGACGAAAATGATTATGAAAGTAAATCATAAACACTCAAACCTCCTCGTCATGAAACACGATCTCCAATGACTCCCGAAAATAGTCATGAGCCGGCTCTCAGTACACCCGTATTGCTCTCGCCTTGATTGTCCAAGTTGTTTTGCTCTGGTATATCTCACATAATAGGGACCACATGCCAAACATTTTTTAGAAGCCTTTCTTGTGTTTATGTTTGATTTGCTAGTTATGCGCCGTGGTGATTGTAACATTGGTGTTGCTCCATTTGTAACCGCTGAACTAAGCCTGGCCAATCAAACCCAAACAATGTGCATTTGTCATTCAACCAATAGGAATTGTTTATGGACTTGGGGGGGGACTATTTAAAATTTGAATTTTAAACAGCGCCACCATATCCTTCACAATAATTCACCCAAGCGCTCAGCCGTTTAAACCCCCACACGTATTGAAGTTATTACTGTTTAACAAAAAAATGTCCAATGAAACACAGGTGGGTGGGAAATGCTGAAAAAATCCATACAATACTTCCCCATCTCAAACAAAAAAAAATGACCAATGAAAAAACATTTAGGTGAGTGGAAAATCTTGACCAAATCCAAATGATAGAGTATTAAAACTCCAGAGAGAAGTGAGAGTTAGAGAGAGAAATTGAGCAATTAATATTTTTCAAACCCTATAGCTACCCCCTGGGAGCTATTTATAGGAGTAAATGTGAATTTGGGCTCCGAGCTTGGGGCTTAGGAGGTCCATTACGATAATAAGGCCCCTTTTGGACATAATAAAGCCACTAATGGGCTGAGTACATGACTTACTAGATTAAGCGTAAAGATATATTCTGTCAGGGCACTTCGTGGCCGATGCAATCCCTCTGGCGGATGCAATGCCCAGCCGATGGGGACCCACTTTGTATTCGGGTCGTGTTCGGAGTGACTTTTAGTTCTTGGCCGATGTGAGGCTCATCTGGCCAAAGAGTGCCACATGGGCATCCCTTTCTGGTGTTTTGACATTCTGAGTATGTGGGCCATAGGGTCTGGGCCTATATACTCCATCACTCAATAGTGGCTCAATTTGCTCCATCCGTCTATTTCACACAAAACTCTCACACACATCGCTCAAAGTTTAGGAAACCTTACACATTAAACCCTCACCAAACTCTGGATTATAAAGCAACTAGAATGTTGTTCGCGCGTTGCGCGAATGTAATATGCCCAACTTGTACTTGCTTTGAACTTAATAATTTTTTAGGTTTTAATTTTGCACAATTGAAAATAGGTTTGGTAATATGTATCGAGGAAGAATATAATAAGAATAATCTAAAAAATAGAACTTTCTGAGAAGAATGGTATAAAGAGAAGATAAGCCAACCGAAAGTAGATGCAGGGATACGTCCTGCGTAATAGATGGCATGCTCGACTCGCTCGATGTGCTTCTTCTTTGTTGCACCTACCGATTCAAGCAAGTCTGAGGACGTTATGGTCGTGGATCAAAATAAATAGCGGCTTTGATCTTCATTGACCTAGTGCAGTGTCCTGGATGTATAGTTTACAACTCATATTAAGCCAATAAGCCATTTTGCTTAATATTGCATAATCTATATGCTTTCTTTGGAAAATTCAAGTTTCTAATTAGTGTTTACAGTTATATTTTTGCTTTAAATGAGCAGTGGCGGAGCCAGACATTTATGGTTAAAGGGGCCGGTCCTTAAGAATTTTATATTACAGGGGCCAAAGTTTAAAATATCAACATATTTTCTACAGATTAAAAATATTTATACATAATATATACTTAAGAATTTTTTTCTTGCCGGGGCCGTGGCCACCTCCAGCCCCTCCATGTCTCCACCCCTGTAAATGAGCATTGTACAATTTATACCCAACATAGATACTAAATATCTAAACATTTTGGAAGTTTCATCCCTACTAATTTTACTACCAGTCCCGCCCCACTTGAAAACAACAAGTCACATTGTAGTAACAAACATGTAATATGACTAACAATTCCTAGTTCATGAGGAAAAGAGCTCCTGCAAACTATGAACCAGGAGCTAGACTTATGTGGATATAATTTAGGTAGGTTCATAAATTGAAATGTACAACGACAAAAGTACTCTATTAGGTATATAAAGAAATATTTAGTGGGTTTAGTTTTTTTTTTGGACAATTCTTTCTAACCTATATAGTATTTGCTTAATGTTAATGTCACATCCTTGAACTGGGATGAGATTGGAACCTGTGACCTTCTAAAGTAATCCTAAACTCATTTCTATATGTATAAGCATTTTTTTGAACATAACATTTTTGTTCTGTACTCTTCTAATTCAAGTGATTTTGTTATGTAAAGGTTTGTTGTTTGAATATGTCTCGGGAGCTGAAAACATGTCAATATGGTTGCATGTCATTGAAAACAACACATATATATATCATTCTAAGCTGGTAAGCTTAAGTGAACTCAATCTTTAGGAGAAGTAAAAATTGATGTGTTAGATTAAAAAATGGTGAGAACTCCGGTACCCATTTAAAAAATGGGGGTACCGTACCTACCACTCACTTGATTGGTCCAAATAGGTACGTAGTATATCATTTTTAATTTAGACTTAAATAATTCAACTGCAACATTTTGATTGGTCCATGTGGACAAAGACATGGTACCTTATGGGTACCATATATATAATCTACCTTAAAAAATTGTACTTGAAGGCAAGTGCAATGAAATAACCTTGGCATTTTAACAAACACCTGGTATGCCTTTAGTTTCCTTTCATATGAACTTGTGAAGACCATTTAAGCATAGTCGAGTCTTAATTAATATAAAGCATGCATAAAAATGCAGCAGAACACATTCAATGTGAGAGTTTTTTGCTTTTATAGATTAAAAACACAAAGAATAATCCCAAACTTACCTACGTAGAGCACAAAATAATTTCGACGGATATACTTGGTTTGACGGTGGGTAAATATTGGTAAATTTACTACGCAGAGTATCTTGCCGAAGGGGAGCCGTCCGATGAGGAAGAGGAAGCTTTGAGATGCACACCCGGAGATCTCTGGCCGTTAAAGATTTGATCGGTCGGCTCAAAATGGCCGGGCACCGTGCCTTGCTCTAAAGGCAGGCAGACACTCCGGGTCCCACAAACATTGCACTACCTTTAAAATATTAAAAATGTAATCCTTGAGCCATTAAACAAAGGAGAAGGCACAAAGAAAATTAATACTCCGTACCTAAATAGTACACAATAGCATAATACGTACTATAATATACCTCAGAGATTGCTGATCAACAATCGTGAGAATTGAAGAGGATAAATGGAAGTTGAATCCCAATATATCTTATATTTTTCATAGAGATAGGTTAAAAGCCAACTAAATGTAAAACTAAGTTGCTAAGAGACGCTACATCTTCTTGAACGGGAGTGAAATGTCCATGAGATGCACTGGTAGGGGAAACGAGTCTTGGAGAAAAATTAAAAGCTCATGCAGGTGAAGAGTTGAAACAATAGATAACACTCACAATAGTTTGACGGATATACTTGGTTTGACGGTGGGTAAATAAATTTAACGCCGTCAACTATGAAACTGGACGGTGAAGAATGTAAATCGGGGGAGGGTTGTTATATGGGATACTCTAGCATTTAATAAGAAAACTGGCCTTTATTAAGATAGGTTAAGATTAACCACAAACCACCGACAACGACGTTTTTGAGCGGGAAAAGCAACTCCAAAAACTTTTTTCTTTTATATTATAATAGAAATAGATTATAATAGATACATAGTATAATGTGAAAACTGTCAAATAGGTCATCGAACTTTCATAAAAAGGTCAAATAAGTCCTAATATAGGAGACTCTGTCCGGACGTTGCGATTTGGGGCGGTTCCCGGTGGAATATTTTGATGAATTTTTTTGAGCATCTTATTCATCAAATCTAGTTTACTCATACCAAATTTCAGCTAAAACTTCAATCGGGAACACATTCAAATTAATTCTTGAAGATAACTATGAATAAGATGCTCTAAAAATTTCATAAAAAATTTCTACCGGGAACAGCCCCAAATCGCCACGGCCGGACAGAGCCTCCTATATAAGAACTTATTTGACTTTTTTATGAAAGTTCAAGGATCTATTTGACAGTTTTTCCTAGTATAATAGATTGAGCCCATTCAACTCATACTCATTTGTTTTGAACCGGTTTGGCCCAACCGCCCAACTCAGCTCGTTGACGATCCAAGGTCAAACCGTCAAAGTTCACACCTGAAATTTCGGAATCCAATCAGCTGTTAGTGTTAAGCGCTGCCGCGCCATGCCGCCATGCTAAATTTAGGGCACTCGCTGGTTCGAATTCTGAGCACACCTGCGCTGGGCAGCCGTCCTCCTCCCTCCTCCTGTATCAGCAATACATTACAAGTTCTCATCCGATTAGCTTTATGTTTCGTCTAATCACCAATGGCTCTAGGACTTTACTACATTTCTTGTTGCGCAGGTCGATCCTCTTGAGCTTTGTTTCATAAATTTTTACTTTTATATTTATGTCTCAATGCCGTAAAATTTGTTTCTTTAGCATTGGATATAGACGGATTTCGAGGAGCGGGAAGTGTTCAGTGGCTCTCCAATTTGAGGTATAGGCCTGTGAATCTGTGATCTTTAATACATCTATTTGATAAAGCCTAACGGCGCTTGTTGATTGCTATCTAAACATTTTGGAGCACAAGTTTTTTCACTGGAACTGTCTTTCCCGAGTTACATATGTAGCATTTTCATTATTTGGTTGTTTTGTTTTCAGAATAAACTTATAAAAACTTGTTAGCTTTTACGGAGCATAATTTATAGAATAAACTTGTAAATGTAACTTTCTACAACAACGAGAGAATTCTAGGCATCTACTCAACATATTCTAGGGTTCTTTTAACTTCTCAATGAGGAGTAACTTATCAATTAGGAGGACCCCAAGAGTTCCTTTTCAATACTATTTCTTATTCTTAACTTAATTAAGGAGGGATCGCAAGAGTTATTTTTCAATTAATAAGGGGGCTCCAACAGTGCCGTAGTTGATAAAGTTTACTAATTCCCCAGCTAAGAAGCCTTTCTTGAATCTTTATCAATTCAGATTCTTGGGAGGTTTAATCGTGCCCGAGCAGCTCGTCTCACACTCCCTCATTATGTTTGCCAAACGCCTCTGTTTATGCCAGTTGGAACTCAAGGCAAGATCGCCCCAGCCTTTATTTAACCCTAAAAGTACTCTTCACCTCAATCTTATGACACCATTAATACAGGCTTTTTTTTTTTTAAATTTTTGGCTTGCAGGGACTATAAAAGGCTTGACAAACAACCAGCTCGAGGATATTGGTTGCCAAATAATTCTTGGAAACACCTACCATCTGGAACTACGTCCTACCTCTCAACTTCTTGATGAGCTTGGGGGGCTGCACAAATTTATGAACTGGTCAAGGGCTATGCTGACTGATTCTGGAGGCTTTCAAATGGTTTTATCCTAAAATACTTTTTACTTGATGCCTTGAGTAATTATTACTTGTATACTTTGCTTGGTTACTTTTTAATAGACATTTTCTGTCCTTAGACTTATCACAAATAATTACCCATATCAATGAATCACCGGTTTCAGGTCTCTCTATTGCATTTGGCTGATATTACTGAAGAAGGTGTTACTTTTCAGGTAGTTTCTGGCTTTCTGCTCTCATACATGTCAAATTTAAGCTATGTAGTTCAGTACAAATTGTACCTCTAGTTGTACTAAATACCCATGCTTTCAGTTTTTCATCTACATATTCTCTGTTATTGAGCTGACCCCAAACTCTTTTGGGATTAAGGCTTGGATGTTGTTGCATATTCTCTGTTACTGGTGAGTGGTGACAACTTAAACTTTTGCAGTCTCCAGTGGATGGAAAACCAATGCTTCTTACACCTGAAGAGTCAATACACATACAAGTAGGTACATTGTGTATTTGTTTTTGAAATGTAAAACCCCACTCATCCAATGCAAACCCTATATGATTATAAATACACCTCTTAAGCATAGAATTGGATGCATTCAGCAACTAGATGTTCTGTAGCAAGCACCTATGGTATTTTTATCGATTGTGTAATTGAGCTTTGCTGGACTGTTAATAAGCTAATTTTTTTCTCTTGTATCATATAGTTCGTAGCTTGGGACTATTTTCAAGGTTATTCCAGATAGAGCCCCTTAACTAATACTCCCTCTGTCCCATTTTACTTGTCCTACTTTCCTTTTTGGGCTGTCCCAAAATAAGTGTCTACTTTCCTCTTTTGGAAAGAAATATGTGGTCTACACCATTTCACTTTATTATACTCAAACTTCAACCACAACTTTTACTTTTTCAACCACTTCATAAATATCTATGCCAAGTCAAACTAAGACACATAAAATGGGACGGAGGTAGTTTTTTTTTTTTTTTTAACTTTTGGGATTCAAGTTCAAAATAAGCCAAATTAAATTTTCAATCTTTTAAAACGTAGCACACTTAGTCCTGACATATACAGGTATTGGTTTTACAAAGAACTAAAATTGGCACATTTTCTGATTTCAATGGTAAAAGGATTGAATTTGGCACTTCACATTTTATCATGCACACTTGAATGACTTGATATTGCAGAACAGAATTGGAGCAGATATTATTATGGCTCTCGATGATGTCGTAAAAACCACAACCACAGGTCCAAGAATGGAGGAAGCAATGTATCGAACTCTTCGCTGGATAGACAGGTGCATTGCAGGTAATATGATACTCCGTATTTAACAGGTAGTGAGTTTTTTCAAAGAAATGGGCTGATTTAACTTAGCAAATGCATATCCAAGAGCCGGAATCAGGGCCAACTATATTTCAGGAAGAAGACATCTGCACCACTTGCAGTTCACAGAAAGATTGTAACAATTTAAGCTGTATATTTTGCCAAAAATGCAAAAAGAAAGTAGCTCAATATGTTAAAACATAAAATTGATCAATCATCAGTGTGGTTATCTGTCATGTTTTTTTAAATCTTAAACAAGGATTATATTCTTCATTTGCCCCTCATACTTTTGTGAATAACTCCATTACGGCAATAACTTTGTTATACGGGACAGCTCACAAAAGACCACTTGAGCAGAATCTGTTCGGCATTGTCCAAGGCGGTGTAGATCCAGTGCTAAGGTGATTTCACTTAAATGTCCTTATTCTACGGTTATTGTTAAATATTCCTATTAATGAAATTATTACTTATAACCTATTTTTCCTCTTAGAGATATCTGTGTCAAGGGTCTGGTGGATCGTGATTTGCCTGGGTATGTATACTTTCATTTAAATTAAATCATTTTTAGTATACACTGATAGTATTTTATAATTTAAGCATTGTTTTAAATTGCGCAATGCAATTACGCAATGAGGCGTGCCTCGCCCAAATTCAGGAGAATTGCGCACAATTGCATGGATCAAGGCAGATGTCAAGAATCGTATGCTATATGGCGCAGAGGTGTACGCAACTAGCGATGCGCAATAAGGCGTGTTGAAACGTCCGCAACAGAAATAAGAATAATTGTGGGCTGATAGGCCCACTTTTTTATTTTTTTAGTTCGTTAATAGTATTTTTAAGGCCTGTTGCTTGTTACTAACTCACAAATCCAAGTCCCCAGTTCTGCTTAACTCTTCTTCTTCTTCGAGAAGATCAACCTGCATTTCTGCCTTTCTGGCTTGTTGCTACTTCATCTGCGCATCACAGGGCTCTTAAGTAGAAGACCTGCATTACTGCTTCTTCATCAATGCAATAGGTGCTAAATGGTTAAGGCTTTTAGGCTTCTCAATTAACTCCATTGTTTTAGTAGATAGTAATAAATGATTTTCATCCTAAGTATTTTATTGTCATTGTTTTCATCCTAATTGTAGTTAATGATTTATTTTCCATCGTTTTGATATAGGAAGTTAATACTATATATTATCTTAATATTAATATTAATATTAATATTAATATTAATATTAATATTAATATTAATATTAATGTTACTATTATTTAATTTTTTGGTTAATATGAATTTTGTTGTTTTCAAAAAAACATATGAAATTTGTTGTTAATGTTATGTAAGGTTAATATTCTGGAAACTTAATACTCCGTATTATACTAGTATATATTACACACATACATTTATATAAATTTTATGCCTTAATTGCGTAAGCCTCATTGCGCAATGAGGCTTACGCAATATGCAATAACAAAAAATCGCCTTGACTACGCAATACGCAATTTTGAACCTTGAATTTAAGTCATAATTGAGCTGATAGTCTTCTTAAAGAGTTCAGTTACATTTCCGCATGCCCTTCATACAAAACAAAACTTCAAGAGAAGAGCGCTCTTCAGCGTATTTTTTATTGCTTCTGCTATACTTCCTCCTAAAAAACTAAGAACTGCATGAAATGTTTCTCTACCACGTCAAGATTATACATTTTTTAGAATGGTTCTGCATTAATGTCTTTTACATTTAAGATATTATAATAATTATGTTTTATGGGTGGGGGCGCCTTAGTACTTTAATATGGTTTAATTCATGGCCTTTACTGGCAGATGCATTGGGATTTCTAAGGTAATCAATGCAAACTTACCTTATAAAAACTGACAAAAGCAAGAATGTGGCATTCACGGTTAGTTTGGTTGAAGATATCCTTTTGTCATCTTGATATTTAGACCACTGAATTTATATGATATAGTTCAGTTAGCTTTCTGTGACAACAATTCTATTGTGGGTCATTAAGAACAATGGTGTACAATAATTTTTTTATTACTTCTACCGCAGTTATGCTATTGGTGGTCTTGCGGGCGGTGAAGATAAAGACTCTTTTTGGCGTGTTGTGGCTCAGTGTACCGCTGCATTGCCTGAGGATAAACCACGATATGTCATGGTGCATATAAGTTGTTTGAAACATCTCTTTTGACAATTACTATTACTGTTTCGCCTTCCACCCCAAAATAAACTTTCAAGCTTAAATTTCTGACATTGCCCATCAAATGTTCATCTATCATATTATTTTATAATATGAAAGTTGTCTCCACCATTTTGTTATATTGTATTTCTTCCATTCTTTGTTAATTTAACACCTTAATTCTTGCATGATATATGTAACCTACTTTGACCTGTGATTTTATTCTGTATAAAATCAAATCATTATACATACGGAGTATATATTATATATAATGTTGTTAAATGTGTCTCAATGTATATTTTTTCAAAATATCGGTTTTTATAAATTAGTCCTTGCATATCGGTGAATAGATTAATGTTCTTAGTCGTGTGGTATCAAGTGCGGACACAAACAATTGCAACTTTAAGAAAAGAATGAAATTTAGTATTTTTAAAAGATTAAATGATTATTGCAGTATATTTTATGTGTATGTAATTTCATACAGTATTGGTTAAAGACGGGTACTCAAGACCATGAAAGTCAAAGTGTGAACCGTGAAGCTTATTTTGGAGAGGCATTATCATGATATTCTAACAACAATGACAACTTCAACGATAACAACAACATTAATAATAATACCATTGATAATAAATAGAATAATAATAATTGTATCTTTATTGTTATTGTATCTTCTTGTTTCTAATTTTTTTAACCTCATATCTTGTTTGTGTATGATCCAGGGTGTTGGGTACCCTTTGGATATTGTAGTTTGCAGTGCTTTGGGTGCTGACATGTATGACTGTGTCTATCCTACTCGCACTGCTCGCTTTGGCACAGCCCTTGTGCCTGAGGTGATAACTTGATATGTGATTACATCATTACATCGTATCATCCACAATCAGTTCAGTTGAGTTGAGTTGTCCCATCCATAACCTAATTATTTTTGGCTGAAATGCAGGGAGTTTTGAAGCTTAAACACCAAGCAATGGCTAATGACATCCGTCCAATTGATGCTACATGTGATTGTATGGTATGCTCCTTTAGCGTATGTTTGGATAACAGGAATGCCAGTGAAAAGAAAATACCAAGGATAGTTAACAACGTTCACAGAGTATCTTTTATTGGGCTTTACCTTGGAACATGGAAAGGAAAATTGATTTTTTATACTTGGATTTGTTAGTCTTTATTATAGAACAAAAAGAAATGAATAGTACTCCTTCCGTCTTGCGATTAAGTTCTCACTTTCCTTTTTTGGGATGTTCCAAAATTAAGTTCTCACTTCTCTTTTTGGTGATATTTAGTGTAAAATACTCTTTTACCCCTATCTCATTAACTATTGATTTTCTCTATCATACTTTTAGGAAGGGCATGCTTGGAAAGTCAATAAAAAAGTTATTTTACCTAAAAACCCGTAAACTCAAACTATGAACTTAATTTGTCAGAGGGAGTATGAGTTTGAGCAACATCTAAATAAATACATTGAACTTGAGTTTATCCTTTCATTTCTCCCAAATTTTCTTTCATTCCTACTTTCCTCTCTGATTTCCTCTTTATTTCTTTTTAATGTGATCTCTGACTTCTAATCAGGCCCTTACCCCTTCAAAAAAAATCAGGCCCTTAGTATTTTATCTCATTTGTATTGACAATTGTTTCATTCTAAATTACTGATGTGATCTGTCTACAGGTATGCAAAACATATACAAGGGCTTATATTCATTCCCTTGTCACGAAAGATGCAATGGGTTCTCAGCTTTTGTCATATCATAATTTGTATTACATGATGAAGGTATCTATCTACCCATGCAGCATGATAATTTCATCTTACCTGATTACCTTTATCATTGGACTTGAACTGTAATATTGTATCCTTGCAGCTTAGCAGAGATCTACACTTTTCAATTCTTGAAGGACGCTTTCCAGCGTACGTTGTCTCTAACTCTATATATTTCTTCTGTATGGCTGTTATAATTCCAACTATTAACGTTCTTCCAATATTAATCCCAAATATTCATTATTCTAAAATAATCTGAAATTAATATGAGGTCTACTCAAATTGATCCGAGTTACCCACAACCTGCTAAAACGGTAAACTAAACAAGAAAAATAAAAAAGGAACAATAATCTGACATGTATCATCGGACACTTTTCTTCCAAAAAAAGCTTCATCATTCCAAGCATTCATCTTCGAATCAGGAAGGAAAGGTGATGATGGACAGTCCATGAACCTTACAGATCGAGTAACAGGCTGATGTCAGGAGACAATTTTTCTGAATGCCCAGCTGTTGGCACATCTTCATTATGCCGCCGGAAGCCCTTGGATGCCTCAATGGCACCAAATAACACGATTTTTTAGAGAGTTTTACAATAAGAAAATGAAAGAAGGAGACAAGCGACGTGGATGGTGGCACTTAAGGCTTAGCTGACCAAATTCTTCCAGATGTTTTATCAATGTTTCTTCCTCCATAATTTCTCCAGAAATTCCAAAGAAGGGGAAGGAAGCTGCTGGCGGGCGAGAATTTGCACATGAATTCGAAATAAGGAAGAAGATGAGAGGCAGAAATCGAGAAAGCTGTGAAGAAATTAAGAAGGGGAGGAACTGAGGAAGAATTGAGGAGATTGAAAGATGAGAAGAGGGAACGAAGGAGCGGAAAGGGTCGGTGGAAGCGAAGAAAAATAAAGAAAGAGGAAAAGAAAAGAAAAAAAAGAAAAGCAAAAATACTTGACCCAATCAGATTCGAACACGTCATTGAGTAACCTATTAAAATTGTGTGTTCCGGTTACCAGTCTGTTTTGGGAAGATACCTTGTATAAATTAGATTATTTTTGAATTACTCATGTTTGGGATTAATATTAGAAGAACGTGAAAAGGTGGGTTTAATCATGTGAATTTTTCCTATTTTCAATATTTGGTTAATCTCTTTCAAAATATTCATTTGCAGATATGTATGCCAGTTTCTGCAGAAAATGGTAATCATCCATTCATACAATCAACTCATAATTTTTGTGTTTATGGCTTTTGAAAAAAAATGGTTTTTTGGAACCAAAATAAACAAGAAAACAAGTGTTTATTATTATTGGTATTATTATTATCATCATTACTTAAGCTCTTATAATGCTGTTGATAACCTGTAGTTCCCCAAAGGAGATGTTCCAGAGTGGGTCTGCAATGCCATGGAGGTTGCTGGAATTGATATCTCTTCCTGCTGTCAACCAATTTCATCATCTATAACAAGGCAGGCCAATACACAAAAGATAGTAAAACTAACAAAGTTGTTTGTTTTTTTAGCGCTACTGATTACCCCCCTTTCTTATTATATAGCCTTCCGTGTAGGTTTAGATAGATTTAGACACTAACAACAAACACAGGGAGCAGTTTTTTGGTTGTTTCCCGAGACACAGGGAATAGAAAAGGTATAGATTAAATTACACATCTCGGGAATATTTTGATGTAACAGATACGGAATATAAAACAACAAATTTTGGGACGGCAATTTTGATCCTTGGTTCTTATTAAAAGCACACCTTGTGATGATTCCATTATATATTCTTTTCAATGATTCTAATCTTTAATGATCCATGGCTCATGTGTGCATATTTTATTGTGCCATTGCATTATTTCCCCCACATTTCTTGATGCGCCCAAATTCAAATGTGTACGAGTGCTTCTTGGAAGAACTCACTATCAGTTTTTCCCTTGAAGATATATACTGCTATCTTTTCTTTTACTTTCTTGAAATGGAAGTTCAATATTGCATGCTCGATTTTCTATTGTTTGCAAATTGCCACTACATTCATATTAGACTGGGGTGGACCGGTTCCGGTTCGGGCCCGGTTCGGGCCTGGGCCCGACCGGGCCTCGGTTCAGAAAAATGAGGCCCGAGCCCGAACCGGTGGTGGGCGGTTCCGGGTCCGGTTCCGGGCCACCCGGTTTTTTAATTTTTTTTCCTTCTTCTCTTATTTAACCCCCTACCCCTCCCTCTCCACCCCAAACCACCCCAAACCACCACAAATGGCCCAAAATACCTAATACAACCCAAAACTTAAAAAAAATTCCAAAAAAAAAAAAAAATTAAATTCCGACCCGAACTGGGCCCGGCCCGGCCGGACCGGTTCACTAAATTGGAGGCCCGGGCCCGGACCGCTATACCACCGGGCCGGGAGGCCCGAACCGGGCACGAACCGGTTCACCGGGCCGGTCCGGACCCGCACAGTAGCGGGCCGGTCCGGTTCCGGGCCAGTTGGCCCGGCCCGGGCCCGCACAGTAGCGGGCCGGTCCGGTTCCGGGCCGGTTGGCCCGGCCCGAGTCCACCCCTATTATTAGAGCACTCCAAGAATTGCACTCTATAAAAATGGACACATGGAGTATATAAACAGCCTATCACGCATAGACGATATATTCATCCCGCCACTGCCTCCTAGAAATGGTGTGCCGCCGCATCACAAGTCACACCTCACAAGGGCTGCCAGTGAACTCTTTGACTAACACAAGTATATATTTATGGACACACATACACACACACATATATTTTTGTTTACTCTACGGGGTCTGGGGGAGGGGGTCTGTGGGGGCTGGAGTAATCACTCCATAGAGTTTCGAATCCTTATGTGCCTAGCGGGTTTCGAATTCAAGACCTCTAACTAGGCTCGATAAACTCACAACCATTTTGGCTGGAATGCTTGGTTCACACACATATGCATGTGTTTTTGAATTAAAAAAAAAAGCAGAACCGAACTCATCTAGCTCGGAAGAACACAAACTGTTTTCATTCACATATACCCAAATGCACGTAAAGATACAACAATTTTGAAATTCCATACAAGCCATGGATCCGTATACACTTAACCGCTAAATGCATACAGTGTTCTTCCTTGCCTCTTGAGAGCAGACCAGATCCATGGAGTCATCATCTTCCTCATACATTTTGCTGGAAAACAAAGTGAGTCGGAAAAGAAGATTATATTGCCGGAGGAGAAGATCACCGGAGAATAAAGGGGCTGCTCGCGCCCTGCCGCCTAGAGGAGGAGTGATGCCGTAACACAAGGGGCCGCCGGAAGGTGCGAGATGGTTGTTACGTTTGGTTACTATTGCAACTGGGTGCTGCGTTGCCGGAAGGACCAAAGGAGTGTGCCCTACACTTTTGGTGGGCTACTGAAACTCGGCATTATTATACGGAGTAAACATTTACGGCAAAAAATGTTGTAAAATACTTCGTAAATGTTATGTTGGGTTGACTGTGAGACAACCTCGCTGAAACTAGAAGGGGAGGTAGACGGTGTCTTGATTTTTCCATTCCAACTCAACACCACAGCCAATATACATGTTTGCATCGCAGAAGATAATTTTACCACAATATGATGCGGCAATGCATTTATAAGCAATCCATGTTCCCATTAAAGATATCTTAGAAGTCATGTCCTCTTAGTTTTTCGATTATTTACTTTTCACACTTCTTTTATAACTTCTCTTGCATTTAGCATTTTCCACACTATCCATTATTGTTCTTACCAGTTGTACTCGTAATTTTATGAAAGTCTACAAAACTACGTAGTGGCATGGATTATTACTCAATTTGGTACTCAATTTTTTTTAGATTCCATTTGGTTCTTGATAATAAAATTGGGATCGAATATAGTCCTCACATATATTTGGTTCTAAATAAAAACTCCTTTTGGTCTCCATATACATTTCAACGTAATTTGACACCAAAAATATGTAATTTGGTTCACATTTAGTCCTCAATGTACTATATATAGTACCCTTTTGGTTAGAGTGAAGTGCATCAAGATTAAATTGTGATTAAATAAGTTGCATAATAAGTTGCATATTTGAGGACTACAGTGGATCTATCTAGACAAAAGCCCAAGATCAAATCGAATAATCCTCCATATATTTCCTTTTTGAATAACAAATATCTGTAAGATGAGTCAGTTTATGCCTTTAGTTTCTAATGAAATAATTGCCCAACTACTTATCGTTTTCGACCATTCTCAATAGATGAGTAATGAGTGACATGAGTCCTATATGATCTTCATAATCTATCCTCGGTAGTTAGCACGATTGGAGACGAACAGTCCCCATTTTTAGTACTCCGTAAATAGCAATCTGTTTTTTCTAGGGGTGGGCGCAGTACGTCCGGAACGGTCCTGTAGATTAGTAAAACCCGTAATGTATCCTTGAGGTTCTTAACGGTCCAGTACGTCCGGTTTCAATGATGGAACCGTTCGGTACCATGTGATCGTTTCGGAACGGCACGGTACAATGCCAAATACATATATGCTAAAATATTTGAACAGATCTTACAATTAATTAATAGATATCATCAAACCAATCAACTCACATGTAATATTGATATAAATATAAGAAATTGTATATACAGGACTAAAATTCACAAATAAAAATATTGCGACACAACTAAGAAAGAATATAGCAAAACGATGACGCACAAGATAAATATCATCCTTAATTTACTTAGTTCATAAAAATGAAAATATAGAAAAATATCATCAAATTGTTGAATATAATAGAAATCCTCAACATTCTTCTTCTCATTCTAGGTTAAATACTACTCCGTAGTTCAAATTTAATTTATAGGTGAACCTTGAGAGCTAAGATTTAAACCATATTAATTGAGTTGTAAAATTGCACAAACATGATACAACAAAAAGTCATGCATGCTACCATTACAGTATTACTAGAAATGAAGTCATTAATGATTTCCTTAAAATTTTAATATTCTTTCAATACATTTATGTTATACGATAGTATTTTGGTATGTATCGAAAGAATATTAAAATTTATGCGTCATTAAAGTAGCTAAATGTGTGTGTTTATAAATACACACACATTTATATTTCGCTTTAAAATTTTTTCTTTTCAGATAATTTATGTTATATTTCGGTATGTATTGAAAGAATAGTAAAATTTTAAAGAAATCATTAATTTCAACTATAAATTAAATTTGAACTACGGAGTAATATTTAACCTAGAATGAGAAGAAGAATGTTGAGGATTTTCTATTATATTCAACAATTTTAATATTCTTTTAAAGAGTATTTATAAACAAACACATTTAGCTATTTTAAGGACGCATAAATAAATACTTGTGCTATAAAATTATTGGTCTATAAAAGAGATCTATTGAATTGGTATGGAAAAATATGAAAAATTCAAGTGCATTATTTTCAAACGGTTCGGTCCGGTATTTTCCGGTTCTCAAAATCTAGGATCGATCCCGTACCAGTTTCAAACAGTACGATTTCGGTACGGAACAAAAATATATAGAACCGTTTAAATACCCGGTATTCGGTTCGGTATCATTACGAGACGGTTTGGTACAGGTCCGGTTCAGGTTTTATGCCTACCCCTAATTTTTTCTATCTAAAATCACTGGTATAAATAGAGTTATTTCCCGCGGAGATGTACTTTCTAATCTTATTTCCCAAATATGGGTATTTTTTCGCTGTCATTGTGCCATGTCAGCACTCCAGTTACATGCCATTTACACCTCATTTGTCTGCCACATCAGAATTCCATATCATCTCATATACATATTCGGAGTATATCATATAAAAATATGAATGTTAGGGATCATATAAAAATATGAATGTTAGGGTCATGGGAATCGAAACCACTCCCATCTGTTTGGCAACTTAAGTCCAGGCCCGGCCCTGACATTTTATTGGCCCAGGACAATACATAAAAAGTAGGCCTTGCGAACAACGTGAGAATGTTTATAATTTTTTATAAAACAATTTTTACGTAAAATTAAGTAGTGCAATTGTTACTTGCAATATAGAATTTTGAATTAGTGAAAGATGTGAAAGTTATGTCCTTTATGGAGTAATGTTTTCATATTTTAAATCATATTTTCACTAGATCAGAACAAACTTCAAGGTTCTAAATTCTGAATATTATAATTCAGTCTTTCACTTACATGAGAAAGCCAAAAACAATTAGCAAAATCCTATCAATGAATCACGAAATAACATGAGAGAAGTAAATGGAAAGATTGACATTCATGCGCTAACCCTTAATGAATCCAAAGTAATGATGAATTTCATTCCCAATTAATTATGGTGTGGATGTTACAAAACTTACTTGCATCTTGTAAATGTTATTGAATAAAGAATTGAAAGTATCAAAAAAAAATTATAAGTTTTATTTCATTTTAAATTTTTATAAATAATATAATGTATATAAATTTAAAATACATGTGTGTGTATATATAATTGGGAAATTTATGGGCCCTAAGGGAGCAATGGGCCCAGGGCGCATGCCCCTTTGCCCATACCCCAGGACCGGCCCTGCTTAAGTCCTCTGCCACTACACTGATACCAGTACTTGTTAAATTTCTATACTCCCTCCGTCCCATTTAAAGGTTCTCATGCGGTTTACGATGTTTGACTGACCATAAAGTTAATTGATCCCTGTCAATAATAGAAATATTTTTAGTAAATAAAATTTACTTATTCAGAAACTACATTAAGAGTTCTATAATACCTGATCAAAAAAATTAAATTTGATAAAAGTTAGATATA